TTTATATGTATGTTTGCTTTGATTTTTACAAGTCAGTTGTTTGTATGTCTGTGATGTGTGTTAACACAATTAAAGCAGGTGGATCCTAATTATTATCATGTTAACCAAATATGTTTGTTTAGTTTGGTCACCAATTTTGTTTTATATAACGGAACTATAAACCACTGTCATACAAGTGGAAGGACCTTCGCTAGATGAAGAGAGCCAGTCGATTCTAGAAAGTAAGGACCCTGCTATGAATGCATCATTTGCCATCGGAATCTTTACTTAGTCAAAATATATTCTGACTTGAAATATATAATGAGACACATTCTGTAATTTTCTAATAAAAAGAATTTTGAAGGTGGTTATGATTTGAGAACATAAAATAAAACGTAAAATATACAATAATACACTTTTATAAAATTGCATAAGTGTATAATAGACACCTTTGAAACTGAACAATTATACATTTTCTTTTATCGTATAGTTATAGGATCTTACGATAAACCAAACACTATTCAGATAATAACATTTCTATAATGAACTTGTTGACTAAGGCTCATCAAATGCTTTTGGTGTATTGAAGATTAGAAAATTACGTTGTTATTCTTTTTTTAGTTCTAGCGAAATATCTGATTCATATAAAAGTAATAAAAAGATATTTTATCTTTTCTGTAGTTCTAAAGAGGAAAATTAGTTTCGATAACACAGGAAAGGTGTCATTCTCTCAAATTTTCTAGATTCAGTAACACTTTCAAACAATGTTTTGTAGTTATGAACTTGGAATGAAAGTTTTCTGTCATCAAATTCATATATTATCACTGCTTTTGTACGGCAATATGATTCGCTGTACTATCTCGTCTATTTCTAGTGTAATTGCCAAATCTGAACTTTTTGCTGAAAAATGATGACACTTCTATGTAGAAGCGATTGCAAACTTTCCAAAATATAACTAATGGATCTTCCCTCAGATTTACTTCTTTTTATGGGCAATGCAAGCTTAAATGTATATAAAATTCTTCTTAATTTATGAAGCTCTGTTAAAAAAAATGTTTTATAAGAAAGGCAACAAAATTTTAAAAAAACATACGTGAATGTTACCTGACGTGTAGTTACACTATTGTGTTTATGTTCCAAGATAGATAGATGGCAGTGGTATCTAATTTACTACCGTACAATGCAGTAAGACTGCTGATTCATAACCATCAATCAGCTGTTTTCTTAAAAAATAATTTCTAAAAGTTTAAAATTTAATGTTTAATACCAGCATATCGACTTGTATTTGTCAAGGTTCTAAATAAATAAAGTACATAGTTGTACCACAGTTTACAACACTATCACAATGATTGCGCTAATCATTCTCCTATTGACATTCTCAATGATTTTGATACGAAAAATGCCCATTTTTGCAATATTGTGCAAGCCCAAATGCTTTAGAATATTACAAAAAATGATAGCTTTTAAAAATACATGCGTAAGCAGTAATCACATATCAAGATATTTGATAATACAGATGTTTATACAAACTAACAACTTTTTTACTTTTTGGAGAAAAATATTTATCGCACAAAAATTCAGTAGACCTTGCATTTTTTTCCTGTTTTTAATAATGTGGATTAATTTGTATTTATTTCATGGAAATCGCGGGTAAAGGTTAACCATGAATTAAAATGGTCAACGAAGTACAAATTTACTATAGACTAGTATGAAGGTTTTTATAAAACCACGAAAAATACAATTTGTCTCTGATCAACGAAAATTGGTACTCTCGAAAATAAATTAAGTCGCCGCATCATTTCATATATTGTTGAAGTAAAACCCTTTTCAAAGTTGCATTTCCATATTTCCGATACTGAGCAACGAAAATCTAAATCTGGCCATAAGATTAGAATGTTGCAGGCAGGAAAAAGTTAACATGATGTTGCTATACATTACAAAGAAATTACCAAATAGTCAACGGTACAAACAGACCGTATTTGTAAATGACCATCCGCGACCGGTTGAACCAGTGTTGACAACTCCACGTCCAGTAAATTTCACTACGCAACACCATTTGCTAGACATATTTACGACTGCGAGGTCAACTGCTAACCAAGTCATCGGATGTCATGGCAAAAAACTTCACGCTAATCCCCCCCCTCCCCCCGCATACTTAAATGGCACAAAAACCACTGCAGAAGACCATTTAAAGGTTAACAGTTTAAACCGCATGATATAAAAAACAGACTGTAATGGATGAGAAAGAGGACTTATCAGTAAGGAAAACAATGAACTTAAAACATCCCAAACAGAACTGGTAGACTTTTTTGTCAATCATTTAGACTTTGGTAGCAAGCAGTCATTGCCTTCTGCAGTGATATACGTTTCAATACCAGGGTTTTAGTACAAACCATAAAGGCTATTAAAACCTTGCAGAAGAATTGAGATCTACGCATGCATTAAACTAAATATTGAATATACATAATCGCATAATAAGAATTTTCTGTCACATAATTTTAAACTTATATCAATATATTTTTTTATGAAGGCATATTCAATATAACGCACTATCTATGCAAGAGAATATAGTAAACGGAAGTTTTTTCCTAGGGTTCATACTGAATATTTCTTAAACTATTTGGAAGCGCAAACACACAATAATAATAAATCTACATCGATAAATTTACTTATTTATGATTATAATTTTATTCTTTATAACAGAAGAGATATAAAAAAGGGAAATAACTAACATCCACGCATTCCAACTTCCATCTAAATCTCGAATGCACAAATAAAGTTTATTCGAAAGACTACATATACATAGTATTTAATTGTAATTATAATACAATATAATGAGAAAAAAAATGTTAATATTGCTAAGTTTGTTATTGCTTGCATCATTCCAAAAACAATTTGTATATCAAAAGTAAAATAACAAAAATACCGAACACCGAGGAAAAATCAAAACGGAAAGTCCAAAATCAAAAGAATGGATAACAACTGTCATATTCCAGACTTGGTACAGGCATTTTCTTACGTAGAAAATAGTGGATTGAACCTGGTTTTATAGCTAGCTAAACCTTATTTAATTGTAATTATAATACAATATATTGATAAAAAAGGTAATAGTAATACTAATCTTGTAATTGCTTACATCAATCAAAAAACACTTTGTATATAAGTGACATCTAACATCCACGCATTCCAACATCCTTCTAAATCCCGAATGTAAAAACCTATTATTCGGAAGACTACATATACATAGTTTTTAAATGTAATTATAATACAATATAATTGTAAAAAAGATAAAAGTATTACTAATTTTGTAATTGCTTACATCAATCCAAAAACACTTTGTATAAAAGAGACACCTAACATCCACGCATTCTAACATCCACCTACATCCCGAATGTAAAAACCTATTATTCGGAAGACTACATATACATTGTATTTAACTGTAATTATAATATACAATATAATGATAAAAAAGATGTTAGTCTTACTAATCTTGTAATTGTTTACATAGATTCAAAAAAAAGTTGTATATAAGTGACACCTAACATCAACGCATTCCACCATCCATCAAAATCCCGAATGCAAAATTGAATCGTAATTGGAAGACTCCATTTACATAGTATATTATTGTAAAATTATATTGATAAACTAGTCTTGTAGTTGCTAACATCAATCCAAATCTAAATCCCGAATGCGAAACAATCTTAATTCAGAAGACTCAATATACATATTATTTAATGGTAGTTATATTACAATATAATGATAAAAAAGATGCTAGTATTACAAGACTTCCCAGCAAACACACAACATTTTAAAAACTTTTTTTAAATGTCATATGGACGTCTCTTACAAAATATTTCAATAAGATATCATTTAAACATAAAAAAAAGGTTTATTTTATTGTTTTTGAAATGTTTTATTTCTAACATTTAAGTAAAAAATTGAAAACAACACTTTTAATAATTTCATGCGTCCGAAGCGCTTTTCTGGATTTACATTCATCAGGAACGCTCAAAGCCAAACATTTGAAATCCGAGGGATGTATAAGTACCGAAACAGTTGAAGAGCTATATGACAAAAATACCTAAAACAAATAGCCAAATCCATCTAAGGTCAACTTTGCCTGAGGGAGTTAAAACCTTAGTTTCTTTATAATTTCAAAATTTATAAACGGGCAATTTTAGAAAAGTTTGTTATAAATCATGTCAGTACCGAAGTACTGACTACTGAGCTGATGATACCCTCGGGGACTGATAGTCCACCAGCAGAGGTATCGACCCAGTGATTTTAAAAAAATTGAAAACAACACGTTTAATAATTTCATGCGTCCGAAGCGGTGAAGTAAAATGTTTTTACAACATTAACAAAATATTATTTTCTAATATCTTTTATTCATGTTCTAAAACATTGTTCTAAAATATCCCGTAGATATTTTATAATATAAAAAAATAATAATTTCTTCAATTGGTATTTTATATTTTAACAACATTTAAAGTAAATATTTTCCAAATATCCAAAAAACATTCTGCAAAAAAATGTTTTACAGAAAATATAGTTTTGCTATTTGCATAAAATGTTTTATAACGTAAAATTAAAATGTTTTACATAAAACATCTGAAAAATATCAGCTAAATGTTTTCTATAAAATATTCTGACATACACATTACTTAATAGTCTTATTGATATTTTATTCAACATTTTACGGATATATAAAAATATTATTTTATTTAAACTTTATTCAAACCCCACAAACAACGTTTTGTGGAATTAGCTAGTTTTTTTTCCAGGATAAGATATAGTACTACATTTCATCAATATCATGACAAGCAAGATACTATGGTTGAAATCCTTAATTGATATCTTGAAGATCCTTGAAGTCAGATTTTATTCCTTCTTATATTAAAATTCAAAAGAGTCAACATTAAATTAAGCAATAATGTATTAATAAACAATCACCTTTCTTTAATTTTTATTCTTTTCGTTCGTGTATATTTTAGAAATCAAGAAATGAAAACTGTAACTGTACTAAGTTCAATTTTCGTATCGTTTATATGCCTTACGGAAAACCGACCTTTTCCGGAATCGACTTTTGTTTTATCACCGGAAATGATTTTGAAATTTGAATTTCGAAACGAACACAGGATATTAACAAAGAGAGCCAAGAAAATTGTTTGTTACGCGATATATACTCACTTGGTAAGAATGATTAATCTGTTAAGATGAAACTTGTGCATTCATTGTGTGTGTTCAATCATAATCGGAACCATATTACATCTATTTCTGGAGGTGCCGTGCGGATCAAGGTTTTGAAAAAAGGGGGGCCCCTGCCCAAAGCAAGCAAACGTTTGGAGTGATACTTGTAAATAGTCTATACATTTATCTTATAAGTAGCTCCATAAGGGGGTCGGTGCCCCTAAATCCCCCACTGTTCAAGCATCTACGTACACCAATTATGAATTTGTTCATTGATCTAAAAAAATTATAAGGATATGTGGCTTGTGTGTTTGATTGCCAATACACCTCATCGCTATTTGTCCGCCATTACTGGCCATGGACATCACAAAAGTTACCGTAAAATGTTGACGTCATATTAGAAATTATTTGACACCACGATTGAAAGTAATACACCTTATCGCTATTTGTACCGCCATTACTGGACATCACACAACTGTCACAAGTCCCCTTAAAATTTTGACATCATAAAAAATATCTGATGCCACAATGGAAAAGTGATTGTTGTTTGACGTCAAAAGTTCAAGCAGGATAGATTCTCGGGTCAAGCGGGAATAGCGATAAGGTGTATTATTGTATGACGTATGCTGACGTAAAAAGTTCAAGCGGGACAGATTTCCAAATACTGAAATAGCGATAATGTGTATGAGACAGCTATCCACCAGAATTTAACTGACTTGGAAAAAGAAATTATAGGTCACTGCACGGCTTTCAAACCTGAGAAAACCAATGCCATATAGTCCACTTTGAAGCCTTGACAAACTAATGTTAAATTTTTCTCAACACAATTGAAACAAAACAACTAACTGCCTTCATCAAATACACATTATGAAAAAGAAATTTGACAGACTTAAACCAACAACAACTATTGCAATAAGCATGACTCAATACCTTGTTTCCGAGGCACACAAACAAGTTACAATAACACTAATATAAGCACCATTTGAATATGAAGATTTTTTTTCTAGTAAAATCAGTGTATGTATGTATTTGCAAAACAGAAAATTAAATTTCCCTTAACAGCTTAATGAACATTACAAAGACTATGTAAGACTTCAGTACAAGCAAGATAACATAAACTGTTGCTTAAAATAATATTTATTGCTTCATACACACAATGTACATACAATGTATGTTTTATTTTTTAACAGGAGCTAAAAGAAAAGCCACAAAGGACAAGTTCAATATGCAGGTTTACAATTTGGAAGTGGCGCAGGTTCTTTGAAATGTCTACAACCTTTCAGGAGAATTTTTTTTTGAAGTAAGATTTTCATACAGAATTACTGTTATTCCATATTTAATTCAAATATTCAGCATAAACAATGCATTACATTCAAGATTGAGGGCATACAATACAGAAAAGATATCTTGATATTTGAATAAATTATTTTTTTTTTGTGACAAAATAGAAACAAGTTGTTTATTTAAATCAATCTTTTAGTCCAACAGTGTGCTTTCATAAACAACATATTTGCTTTCCTTTGAAGTATTTCAAATACATATAAACAACTCATTTAATGACATCTGTGTGTTTCTCGGAGTTAAGTTATATTATTATCATCATTGCGAAATCAATGCGTAACACTTAGATAAGTTATTATGTGCCTATAGTATACTTCTAGGACTGTATCATATGCCCTTAGATACAAATTACAAGTTATAAACTATGTCACTCTACAGAGTTTAACACTTAAAAAGGACAATAAGATGTTTAATGACATTATGTAGCAGGGCTTTTAAAGGCCCCAACATGATACAATGCATGTAATGAAAACTAAAAAAAAAACCCAAGAAAAACAACAGCCTGATTTATACAAAACAATAAAAGAAAACGAAATATGATAGACAACAATCAACGAGTATAATGACTCTTGACTGGACACATATCTAGTCTTAAGTTTTTCATGTGGTTTTTTTTTTAATAACTCAATGAAGTTCAGCGTGGTATATTGCTCTCTCTTAACACGGTCAGCCATTTATCGTCCCCTTCCGACAGAATACCATCGTTATTTGTTTCAAAACTTTAAAGGAGAGGGGATGTGTATCCTTCAGGCAATGTGAATCGTTCTATAATAAAGGTTAAGGAATGTACAAGAAGTTTATATATGAATGTAAGATTAATTTTTTTTTCAGAAGCATGGCACAGCAAGAAAAAGATATAAGACACTACAAGACATTGCAAGTGATTTTGAATAAGACAATTGATTGACTTTTTCAATGTATTCTTAAATAAATCTAATAGTTGATGTAAATGGTGTTTTGTTCTCATCTCTTCAGCCAATTATCAATGAATATTGACTTAAGATGTAACCCTATTAGAAGAGGGACGAAAGATACCAGAGGGACAGTCAAACTCATAGATCGAAAACAAACTGACAACGTCATGGCCAAAAATAAAAAGACAAACAGACAAATAATAGTACAGATGACACAACATAGAAAACTAAAGACTAAGCAACACGAACCCCACCAAAAACTGGGGGTGATCTCAGGTGCTCCGGAAGGGTAAGCAGATCCTGAGCCACATGTGGCACCCGTCGAGTTGCTTATGTTATTACAAATCCGGTAAATAGTCTAATTCGGTAAGTAACATTCGTGAAAAGGGAAGGGTATTGTAGTTACGACATGAGGAACATATCCGATATCATCTGTGAAACGGTTATTCCATAACGGTCAACCAACTCGTGATGGCGTCCATAAAATTTACGAAGGGATGACTTCAACTTCACCATTTGGAACTCTTGGTTTAATAGCTTCCTTGTGAGCAGCAATCCTCTATCAAGGAAATCATGATAGGAAACACAAGCCCTGGAATATCGTATCAATTGGGAGATATATACTCCGTATGCAGGCGCTGCTGGAATGTTGCTACATAGAAATGGAAAGTTCACAATTGGGAAGCTGAAATCATCTCTTTTGTCGTAAAGTTTTGTTTTCAACCGACCCTCATTGTCAATTTCTAGATGTAAGTCAAGATATGAGGCAGACTTAACTGTATCTGTAGTATCCTTTATCTCTAGTTCGATGGGATAGATTCGTTCAACATAGTCACCAAATTTTGTATTATTTAGTGAGAGAACATCATCTATATAGCGGAACGTAGAGTTAAAGGATATTGCTAACTTCTTATCTCTCTTCCTAAGAAGCTCCTGTATGAAGTCAGCCTCATAATAATAAAGAAAGAAGTGTAGCGTTTTAGTTTAGAAAGAGAAGTTGTATTCAAAAATCTGAATTTGGGACACAAGTTTTAGTCAATGCTTTTTATAGGCTTATATTGGTTTGACCGAAAACATTTCTTTGTAAACCTCATCATGTTTGAGAACATCCCAATATTCAATCCTTGCATTGTTTTTATTTGTGAAGGCAGGGATTGCATTGCATTGCTAATACTAAAGAAATTTCATGTGTGTGTGTTTTTAATGTTTTCTTATTAAATCAGATTTATCACTTAAAAATTAGATGGATGTTGGAATGTGAGGTGTCACTTATAAAGTTTTTTGGATTGATGTAAGCAATTACAAGTCTAGTAATACTAGCATTTGTTATCATTAAATTGTAAATTAATAACAATTAAATTCTATGTGTATGGTCTTCGGAATACATTTTTTTTTGCATTTGGGATTTAGATGGATGTTGGAATGCGTGGATGTTAGGTGTCACTTATATATAAAAAGCCTATATAAATAAATACGTAAATGATTTAATATATTTTACATGAACGCTATAATATAGTGTGGTGAAGATTTTTATATATCTCAAAATCCTAGGTAAACGATGCAGTGGATGTCATAGAAAATCTGATTGATTCGGAAATAACTTATTTAAGAAACCAGGCTTTAATTTGTAACGACACACGCGCGTAATTAGATATAAGAAGATGTGGTATGAATGCCAATGAGACAACTCTCCATCCAAGTCACAATTTGTAAAAGTAAACCGTTATAGGTCAAAGTACGGCCTTCAACACAAAAACCATTCAAACAGGAAAACCAACGGTCTAATCTATACAAAAAACGAGAAACGAGAAACACTTATGAACCACATCAACAAACGGTATGACAACCATTGAACATCAGGCTCCTGACTTAGGACATGTGCAACAAATGCAGCGGGTTTAAACGTTTTAATAGGCGCCAACCTTTCATTTGTCGGTCGGGCTCAGATCGAATTTATTGGAAAGCCAAATCGATAACAAGGCTGAATAGAAACATATATTTCACAAAACGGTGTGCCAAATCTGGCAAGGGCCTTTTATGTCTGGGGAAAGAAAAAATTTGGTGTATCGAATGATCTAAGCATTCTTTGAACAGTTAATTCATAGCAAATAACAGGTAACAATATAGTGTATGCCAACAAAGAGACTTTGACTACCGGGCTTTTGATAATATCGGATATGAAAAGTCTACTTGAAGTGGCATCGACCCAGTTGTTCTTATAATTTAGTACATTGTCTAAAGACCCATCAGTGGCACTAGTATAACAGCTCGAATACCAAACACGATAAAGAAGTTGTAAAGGTTAAACGCAGTATTCCTAAAAGGTTTTGACAATCTGGTTAAGGATTGAAATCTCCGCTTTTAAACGCAAGTTTGACAGGTCACTTGTACCTCAATATGACCAGAAGAAAAAAATCGTCAAACGATTACCCCTATTTAAAATTCATTTCCTCTATTTTAATTTCGGCTATTTGCCAGAAACTATAAGGTCTACTTTACATCTTGGTATTTCCTCGATATTGAAACAGATGGAAAACTTTAAACTGGAATCTATGACAAACCTGATGATTGCAACTTTCCAATTGTCAACTTCCCTTTTCACAGCAGTAAATTACTTTCTGTCGCATTGGAAGGCGTTTACATATATATATGAACTTTATTAACAAGAGCAGGCTACTGACACACAAATTATGATACTAGAATAGTCGTTCGATTTGTAAATTAACCGATTGTGTCCTATTCATTGATTGTGAAAATTTTACTGAGTGTTGATACGTATGACGGGTCACGCATTCATAGACTCTTATTCTGTCAACGCTACCTGTATCGCCCTGAAACTGGTATCATAAAGATGCTTGATTTTTTATGAATATTTGATACGTTTACAACAAACAATTATCATTCCTTTGAGACCCAACTGCGCTACTCTTCTTGTCAAGTTGTTCTTTTATTCATATGATGCAGACTGCATACAGGATGTTTCTAGAAAAAATTGAAAGAAGCTTGCACTATCATTTAGCTTCACGTTCCGCTATATGTAAGATACCCTCTATACTTTAACTGAATAATTCAAGTAAGTTAAATGACTATGTTAAAAGTATATATCCGAATGAAATAGTAAAAGATATCAACGATACAGTTATGTCTGCATCATATCTTGACCTACATCTAGAAATTGACAATTAGGGTCGGTTTAGAACACAATTTAACGACAAAGGGAGTGATTTCAGCTTTCACATTGTGAACTTTCCGTTTTCTATGTAGCAACATTCCAGCAGCGCCTGTAAATGGTATATATATCTCCCAGTTGAAACGATATCATAGATCTTGCATTTCCTACAATGATTTGCTTGATTTACATCGCTCTGAAATTTAAACGCACACCATCACGAGTTGGTTAACCATTTTGAATTGCTGTCTCACAGATTGAGATGACCACCGATTTATCAACTGTAACAACTTTATCGTCCTTTTTTCTCAATTGTGACATCAATGAATGAGACTTATAACCAACTTTGGACTAACGATGAACACCGTGACTGCTGTCACTTTTAATGCAGAATTTGTCTACCCTACCGGGGCATCTGAGTTCTCCCCTGTTTTTGGAGGGGTTCTTTAGCTTTCTATGTGGTGTTTTGAATGTACCATTGGTATCTCCCGCCTCTTATATCATCAATAATTACAATGCTGTATACATTGTATATACTAAGTCTGATTTTTATTTTGACCGTGATGGATACCAAACCTTTATACATACATAAAACATATCATAGGTTCCTAACTTATAAATAATCGCGGGGACCAGCTTTTTGCCTTTAAAAGATATAGAAGAGGGATAAATCAGTTATGAAGGAGAAGAGGATTGACAATCAAAAATGACAAAATAATATGCCCAGTCTAGGTAAAGCAAAATATGCATAGATTTCTTTAGTCTTGAAAAAGTAAAAATTCCCTTTATAACATTAACGGGACCGATTTTACTACACCAGATGCCCATTGCCATGTTAAATGTCTGTTAAGTGATGCTCGAGGACAAAATATTTGAAAAATAAAAATTCACAATAATAGAAAGGACTGGTCGAGATGTTATCTTAATGTTTTTAAAGTGTCTGTTTGTGTAATTTATGAAAGTACTTCTTTGATAGGCATAAGTTATAATTTGTTGACATTGCCCTCCCCGATATTTAGCAAAGACCTTCGCACAAACCAAATTGCCCAAGATAGAATGCATCATTAGAACTTTGAAATGAAGACTAGTGTTATGATTTGATGTCCCATATCCTTTCCCGACCATAATAGATATTACCACAAATATATAAAATATAAGAAATTCAAACAAATCAAACCATATATCATATTATTAAAATACAAATATATACAGCAAACACCTGCTGCAGTTTATGCATAATTAACATTATGTAAAAAAGAAATCACGACATAGACGAAATCAGATTGCTACGCTGTATAAACGAGGAATTAAATTATGTGTCATAATGTTGTATTGTCAAAATATGGTAAAAGTCCCATATCTCCCCCCATACAAGTGGTCAAATCAAATTGATAGTATAGTGACTATAAATAATGTCAAAAAAAACCTACAAAGTGTGAGAACTTTCTGTAAAATGGTCTAATAACAGTTACATTCATAAGGTAACATTTTGACAATACTCATAAGAAAAAGTCCCATAAACCGCGTGAAAATGCTTATAACAAAATGATGTAATATGGTCAACTAAATAGAATGGTGAACAATAGCACTAAGTATAAGAGAGTTCTGTAAAGCGATCTCAAATTTGCTGCTTTCACATGATTGTTGGCACAATATTCCCCAAAAAAGTAAAAGTCCTATAACTCCCTTAACATTTTATAATCAAAATTACGGTTTTATATGAATAATATGATCTACTACAAACGATGGTAACTAATCCTTTGCAGAGAATCATCAATTCCTCAATGCTTTTCACCTCGAATTTTATTTGGCATTTTAACTTTTTTAATTCGAGCGTTACTCTTGGGTATTGTGTAGACGAAACGCA